GCACTTGGGTGAGTGGGTAGGTAAAGGGAAGACACCAGGGTCTTGATGACTGAGAAGAAGTAGCCCGAGGCCAGGAAACCAGATTTTGCACAGGGAACAGTCAGTGTGTGAAAGCTCTTCTCAGTCATCCCTGCTGACTCACTGAGCAGGTAGAGTGACTTATCTAGTGACTCAATCAGCACCAGCACAAACTCAGGGAAACCAGGTTGAGACCTTAAAGGAACTTGTGAGAGGCTGCGGATGAAGGACCTGCCTGGGAAAGGCACGAGAACGCTTAGAAGCAAAGCACCATCAACCTTCTGACTGAAAGGATCTTAAGGGATGCCGTGGATCCCACCGTGACAGACAGTTGTACTCAAATGGGGGCGATGGAGAGGAAAACCCTGCCGTGAGAATCCGTTCTTCTCAGTGGGGGTTTCACAGAGGTGGGCCCATGTTGTCAAACCCGGGGAAGTGCCCCAAGGACTCCTTTTTGATACTTAGTAACTGGTTTAAAAACCTGAACGCTTGCCCTAGTCCTGTTCTTGGTGCCCAGCGCGTGGGCCTGACAGGTTCAGCACTGCTCTGGTCTTCATCCCTACAGCCGGCATACAGTAGCCTCGCACTTCCCCAGGGAGGTAAAAAATCTTAGAGGAGAAACCATGGAAGACGACATCATCCTCTCAGAGGCTAACTTCCTTTGACAAGTGAGCTTCTCCCAAAGATATCAACCCCCACAGGCCTAAGCCTAATCTCTGACTCACCGCCAGGGTCCATGTGCACTGAACTCAAGTCATTATTTGTATGGGAAAGACGATTTATGTAACACCCTCCCTCTGGAATAATACTCTTTTTTGGATAAACAGTGCGTTGCACCTTCTCTCCCCATGCCTATGCCTTCGAAGTGAAGGAACTGGTTCTGAGTGGCCGGCAGGGTTACAGATTATAACCCAGGGCGGGTTGCCTGCCCCAAGCAGCAGACTGCTTTCAGCGCAGGGCCGCCGAGGGTAGGTGGTTTGGCCCAGTACTGACAGCAGCGCTAACACGTACCAGAGGCTAAAATCTGTGATCATCCTAAAGCCTAATTCTAGCCTCTCATTAGGAAAACAATGCATTCTTCCTTGGGCTTCTCTTGGAAGGCTGCTCTCCCTACTTTGTGTCTCTCTGCGCCATGAATTGGACACGGACAGCCCTCCCCTGTCCAGCCAGCCTCTTGCTGGCTCAGACAGAGAACTCTCCCTGGCTTTCTGCTGCATTGCCGCCCCCAGCCTGATGCTGTACAACTCCACAAGCCCCAACAGCCCTCTCTCTGCTGCCTTCTCCTCCTGGTGCCTCTGCCCTTCTCACTCCCACCCTCGCTGAGGCTCTGTGATCTCATCAGGAACTGCACTTGTGTCCTTACCGAGCAGTTAAGTGGAGAACACTCAGCGCTTCCTAGCGGGCCGCCCCTTGTCCCAGCCCAGCCTTGTGCACCACGGCCAGGAGTGACTATCTTCCCCGCTCTCTCTACTAGGAAAGGTGATCTATTCCTGGACTCAGATAGGGCTGTGGCCAGCCAGGCAGCTGCGTTAGGGGCCAGAGCTCAAGGCAGTGTTTTCCTGGGAAGGAGCGACCAACCAGTCTTTCCCACAGTGCCTGGGCCAGGAGGGTGCTGCCCCTGACATCTGGATAACCATCCTTCCCCTCGAAATAGCTCACTAGAGGTGTTCTCTCTTTGGGCCTGGAGGAGATTAAAAATACAAATGGTGATGGGGGCTGGCTGGTTGATCTGTATATACTTGTGTCCTTGGTCAGGACAGGCAAACCTATTTAGTCACTTCCGTGTTCGCCATAGCTGAGGAAGTAGTGAAGTAGATATGAACATTAGCTAATGTTATGTCCATTTTACAGATGAAGAGATTGAGTATTTGCTGAAAGCCACACACAGCTTGTAAGTGATAGAACTGGGATTCAACCCAGGAAGATTGGCTCGAGTCTGTGCTTGCAAGCATTATGCTGTATTGCTTTGCAGATAGAGATATTTCACTCATCCGCTTCCTGAAGCCTTTATCCCTGCTCCAAGGAGCACTTTCCTTCATTTTAATTTAAAGCAAAGATGAAAACAACCCCAATTTCACTGCCCAAGCCATTATTTTCCCCTCTTGGGAAAACAGGGTGCTTTCTGAATGGAGACCAGGAAAAGTACTTTGGGCCAGAACTGCCTTGCAGTTGAGCTGAGGCAGGCTTTAGCAATGGCTTGTGCTGGGCCTGCATTAGCTGATGGCGTGGCATGCCGAGTGCCAGCAGAGGAGATAAAATCAGACATATGTTTGGATATAAATGTGATTTTTCTCTCTTTTTCCTCTTCTCTAATTTTAAGCCCCTGCTGCTTTGTTGCCATAAAATGTTAGAGCCTTAATTGTGGGCTCTGGCCCCCTGAGGTAGTAGCCGAGGCTGAGTGAGGCCCCTGTAGCCCTTTGCTAGTCTCTCCCTCTCTGCACTGACAGAGGCCAGCGCTCTCTTCTGTTATTCCCCATGGACTCCAGGCCTCTTCCCCCAAAACAAAAATTGTCTTTCAGACTCTGGGCTACCCTGGTCCACCCAGCACCCAGCCAGTTGCTGGCCTCAATACATGTTAAACAGTCATGAGGAAAGTAATGTCCCCAGACCTTAGAAGCGCGCCTGTCTACGCTACCTTCGTTGATAACAGGATGGCGCTTTACAATGAAAAGCCATAGGAGGCGCCGGAGCACCACAGTCACAGCATTGCACACAGTTAGGGTGGGGTGATCAGCACAAGAAGAGGAGTCAGGACTCTTGAGTTAAATGAGCGGAAAGCACACCACCACGGAGCGCTTGCTCTACTCGGTGCATTGAGGCCTCTGTCAGCCCTCCACTCTGCAAAGTCACTGCGGTTGGAAGAATGCCAGGCCACCTTTCCCCTCTGGACACCCTCATTCGCCCTTTCCCTAGTAGTCAGGTCCTCTGTGGGACCCTGCAGTTGCTGTCTGCCACGAGGCCTCAGAATCAGGAGGCTTTGAGTCTGCAGACTCCAGCTCCTCGTGAGCACACACAACTCAGCCCTACGGTCTGAGCCAGGTGAGGCTCTGGAGGGCGGTAGAGCTGTTTCTAACAGAGATTCAGCAGCTCTGAGCTTCTAAGAAGGAGGAGAAGAGAACACAGAAAGATCTGAGGCCCCATTTTCACTGCCCATTGGTGAGGAAAGAAATGGGTTCTTGATGGCCACTAAGCCGAGCGAGAAAGCACACTGGCCCTAGGAGGCAGGAGGCCTGGGTTTCAGTCCCATCTCTTCTGCTAACTGGCAGTGTGACCTTGGATATCTCTTCTAATTTCTCTGGGGCTCAGTTTCCTTGGTCATAAAGTGTGAGAGGACTAGACTAAATGATTTTTCATGGCCTTAAAAAATTCTATAATGAAAATTCTCCAACTCCGTACAGTCAGCAGCAGTCTTTCTCTCTAACGTGTTGCTATAACTACCCCCCTGAAGAGCTACCAGCCCGCGTTCCAGGTTCAGGTACACCCTACAGCTGGGCCAAGCCTGCGCATGAGTCACCAACACAGCACTAAAGGTTGCCCTTTCGGCGCTCAGGGGACGCCTCTGAAAGCGCCCAGGTGCCTGCTCAGAGAAGGGTGTACCCCATGTCAGCGCCCTGGGGGTGGGTTGGGGAAGGGGGCGTGTTGCAGGCTCTTTGGGGCAAAGGAACTGCTTAGACCCAAGAGCCATCTTCTCAGGCTCCCCCAACTCTTGAGGTTTCTTCTGGAAAGCACTTCTCCTTTCAGATTCCAAGACTTGACTGCTCAGGCCCCAGGACAAAAAAAAAAATTGTTCTTTGGATGCTTCCCCAGGAAGGTTTTAGTCCCATTTCTCTTTCTCTCTCCTCAGACTTTCGTTCAGTCATACTCTGCCATTCCAAAACTACTGCATAATCCCTGGCCCAATCGCTGTCAAAAAAGGGGGTAAGGGGGGCCTAGGAAATTGGCTCCACCAGGCAGAGCAGCCAGTTCCCCCACAACTGCCCCTGACTATGTACCAGGGAGGCTGTTCTAAACAGTCTGAGTTGTGACTTGAGGCACTAAGAAAGGGAGTCATTTCTTGCTTTTTCAACTGGCCTCGCCAAGTCCCACCCTTTACTCTGCTGCAGTTTTTTCCTTTTCACTGGGGGAAGGGTGGTAAGTGTGAGGCAGAGGGAACATATCTTTGGAGCCTAGAATGTGAGCGGCAGCTCCTAAGTGTATGCCCATGCATGCATGCTGCCACAAACATTGGTACCCAGAAATGATGTATGTATCCCCAGGAGGATTAGGAATTGGCCCTTTCTTAGCTATCTCTTAGCCAATTGCTACAAAGTGCTGCCTGCCTCTCTCCCTGTTCGGTGCCAGAAAACTCACACCCACTCAGTCCTGATTCCCTGCATTAGTATAAATACTAGCGCTGAAGAGACGCAGGGTCCCGGTTCATGCAGCCTCCCTGGACGTCATTACTCGGTAAGCATCAGGAGACAGACACCCACCACCACGCAAGCATGTTTGACTACTTAGCACCCAGAGAGCAGAAGCCACACTGCCTGTGGGAAATACCAGCCAAACAACATTATTGCGACCTCTTAAATCCAGGTCCCCAGGGTCCTCGGGCAGAGCTGGTGCTGCCTGACCAGTAGCTTCTGCTGAGGCAGCATTTAACTTCTGGCCAGGTCCCAAGAGCTGAGGCTGACCCATTTCCCCTGCTTTTCCAGGGCACAGGAAATTTGTTTCTACCCTCAACAAAGTCAGGGACTAACACGCTTAGCTCGTGAAAGGTACATGGGAACCGGGGTGCTTTTATTTAAGCTAAGGAAAGGTGGTTGCAGCTTGAGCATTTTCCCATCCCTTAAAAGCCATTTACCATTGCCTTGCCCTCCCACCTAACCTCTCCCCTCTCCTCCGGTCCCCCCGGAACCCCCCACTTTTTTAGGTAGAAATGACTTGGTCGATGCTTTTAAGAATCTATAGTTTTAAGGTCTTATTCAACTTAACCCTTTGAATTAAAAATTGAACAATATTTATTAAAATACAAAAATACACTTTTCTCACATTACAATCAATGTGTTCCTTTGTAGGCATTCCCCCCCTCCCACCCCACCCCCTTTCAAATCTGAACCCTTTATTTCCTTTTAAAGCTAAAAGAAATGAAACGTTACATCGTTAAATGGACCAGCATAACAGAGACCTCTGCCTTTCCCACCCGCACCCCGTCCTCTTCCACCTCCGTCCGGGGTGGGCCTGGGAGAGGGAAGCCTTCCCCACTGTGCTCTGTCCAGCAGGAGTCGTGCAGGACTCGCGTGTGCATGTGTAGTAGCACTTCGGTTCCAACTGGATTTCACATCTCTTTTGTGGACCATCCTAGCTGGGAAAGGCTCCGTGACTTTAAATGAGCCTGTGCCCTTTTTGACTCTCCTTTTTCTTCTCTACTCCTGTACTGCCCCCACCCCATCGCCACAACCAGTTGACATCAGCTGTAATAATCCCTAATGAATCAGCATTTAGAATAGTCACCAAATCACAAGCATGAGAAAAGCTTCCACTCCCCCAAGCTCCCCACTCCTGGCTTCTCCTCCCTCTCCACCTTAAACCAAACAAATCCGTTTTTAAAAATCATAAAATGCCATCATTGTCTACAGTCACTTGTCAGAGCCCGGGACAACAGGTGGACGAGGCACAGTGCTGATGTATGGCCTCCTCCGAATACACCCTATCTGCTGCTGCTCCCCCTCCCCACCCCCTCTGTTGCCGCACCCCCTTCAGGGGCACCTTCTCAGGGGAAACCCTGAATAGACACATGCCTTGCACAGAGTGGGTGAATCCCAAATGCAGGAGTCTGATGCAGTGTGAAAGCATTTGACTGAGAACTACGCCAGCCCCTTCCTTCCCTGCTGCTTCCCGGGGCGCTGTCAGCCAGGCACACGCGTGTCCCAGTGCACAACCAAGGAAACCCGTGCACGGGGACAGACAGCCCCTTTAAGGGTTCGTTTGAATTTTGGTGGTTTTCCCTTGAACACACATTTATAGATCTACCTTCCCCGTGGCCGCTGAAGAAAAAAAAAATTATTGCCTCTCAACATTTTAGCACAGTACAAATTTTTGGTGCTTTTTTTTTTTTTTTTGTATTTTTGTTAAATAAGATAAATCTGCAAAGACAGCTCTCAGCTTAAGAAAGGTGTCTAGAAATGGGTGTTCCTGTAGCCTATGAAGCATCTGTTTTTTAAAAAAAAAAACCCACAGCCTGGCTCTGCCCCTGCCCACCCACACCCTGCCTCTTTAGGGACACTGGCTGTTCTGGTTTGTTGTATCTCAGCAGTTTCAACTTTATGCCAGAACCCCTCTGGCAGCAATAACAAGTTGACTTGTGGCTCCGACCCCACTCCCAAGGCCCCCCTCCCCCTTTAAATAGAACTTACAAGTTAGAAAATAGTTTTGTTTTGATTTTTGTTTTTAAATTTTAATATAATCTGTTTCTTTTACCAGCCCATAGATTTAATATATAAGCATATACAAGAAAAAGTCTCTCCCCACTCTGTACAAAAGTTGCTGTCTTTTTTTTTTTTGTTTTTTTGTGCATTCTATTGCATTTTATGAGTTTTTGGGGGGAGGGGCGTCATATTTGAGTTTCCTGTACCTTGTCCTTGGTATGGGTCTGTATTATGTAAGGTTCAGAGATAGTGGTGACTGTGGGGTGTAGAGAGTTCCCCAGGCTGTTTTCTGTCCAGTGGGCCCCATGTGCTGGTTTGTAGGTGTTGTAGTTAATGTGGTCATGAACTGTGGGCAGCACTACTGCCCCCTCACCTGATACACCGGATGGAGCTGCTGTTGCTGCTGCCGATGCCGCCGCTGGGATGTCTTCATCCACCTGGATGATCTCAACTGTCCGGGCAGCCGTGACTGTCCTCCTCTGCTGGTGCCGCTTGCGAAGTTTGTAGAAGACAATCAACATGGCAGCAGCCAGCAGGGTCACTGCCACAAAGCAGCCAATGATGATCTTGGTGGTCTTCATGACTTCATCCAGGCTGGTCTGCATCTTGTCATTGGTGTCGGTCGCGGGTACTGCCACCTGCTTGGGCACACGGGTGGTCTGAATGAGCACCGTGGTAGAGGTGGTATATGCCGGCTGGTAACCAGTGGACGTGGTAGGGACGGGCTTGTACTTGCGCGTTGTGTCCTCGGGCGAGATCTCCGTGGTCTCCACTGTGACCGTGGTGAAGAAGCTGTAGTTGGAGGTGTTGAGCTCGGCCGTGCTCACGTTGAGGTAGGCCGAGGCATTGGAGTTGCCTGCCACGTTGGTCACCATGCACGTGTACACCCCCGTGTCCGAGGGCAGCACGTGGGAGAAGTTCAAGGTGCCGTCGTTGAGAACCGAGATCCGAGGGTGGCGGGAGGCGTGGCTGAGCACTGTCCCATTGGGCAGCAGCCACTTCACAGAAGACATAGGGGGAGTCCGACACTTCAGTTCTGCCATCCGACCCTCAGAAATATTGAGGTCCCGAGGTGCATCCATAATGAAGGGAGCAGAGCACTGAAAGGAGGTCTGGTCCACCTCCACCAGGTAGCGGCCTCGCATGTGCAGGGGGGCATGACAGCGGCCACAGCAGGTAGAATTGGTGGGTATGTACTCCCGAAGCCACCAGGCTAGCCACAGAATGTCACAATCACAGTTCCAGGGATTGTGGTGTAGGTGCAACTCCACCAGGTACCTCAGTGGGGTGAAGAGGTCATGGGGCAAAGAAGAGAGGTTATTGTGGGCCAGGTTGAGCTCCACAAGTGAGGCCAGCCCATCAAAGGCATTCCGCTCGATCAAGCTGACCTGTGAGTTCATGACCCATAGCTTCTTCAGGGAACTCAGGCCATGGAAGGAGCCAGGTCTGATCTCAGGGAAGTGGTTCCCTGACATCTCCAGCTCCTCCAGGCCCACCAGGGGGGTGAGATTGGGCATATCTTTAATGTTGCACATGCCCAAGTTCAGGTACTTGAGGTTGAACAGCCCCTCAAAAGCTCCCTCAGAGATGTATTCCAGCTTCTTGAGCTCCCCCAAGTCCAGGCGCATGAGGGAGGGCACCCGGTTGAAGGCATAGGAGGGGATGCTCTCTATGGGGTTGTTGCGAAGCCAGAGCTCCCGCAGCTTGGACAGGTACTCAAAGGCCCCGCTGGGGATGACTGTCAGCCAGTTGTCAAAGAGCTCCAGGGTGTTGAGGCTGGCCAGGCCGTTGAAGGCCCCCACCTCGATCTGCCGGATGGAGTTCCTGCCCAGCTGCAGGACCTCCAGGTGGTGGAGGTGTCGGAAGGTATCGGCCTGGATCATCTGGATATTGTTTTCCATGAGGTTGAGGTACCGGGTGTTGGAGGGAATACCCTGAGGGACCTCAGAGAGGCCCCGGCGGGTGCACACCACCTTGCTGAACTGGTTACTGCAGGAACAGACCGACGGGCAGTTCTGGGGCCCGGCTGAGGCGGCAGCAGTGATGGCTGCACAGAGAATCCACACTTGCGCCGTGAGGTAGACGACGGGGAGCAGGACGGCATTCCAGGTGTGGTGCACAGTTACCTGCCACAAGAGCTTCATGGTGTGGCACGTTCATAATTCACCATCGCCTGGGATTTTGGCTCGGAAAGGAGAACCAGCCCTACCCCGGCTTAAGTGAGCTAGGAGCTCCTCTTTCCATCTGGAGAAGGAGGTGGGGAGGGGGCGATTAGAGAGACGGAGCAGATCGGCCGGGGAAAATCATGCGAACTGAAGAGTGGCCCCTCGGCTACCAGCCCCCTCCCCCGCCAGGCCAGCCCTCGCCAAGCCGAGACTTTCTCTCCCCCATCGCGACCATCCCCACCCAATTCTTCGCTGTCACCTACCTCGGAAGGAAGGAAAAGAATTGGCGTGGTGTCCTTAAGCGTTCTCCGCGGGAGCTGGCCACCTCGTTCCCATTCTTACTTCTTAGTTTTAATTAACAAAAGGGGGGAAGTAGAGGGGGCGGGG